AAGCCTGCGCCGCGGCCGCGGCTGCGGCGAGCAGCCGTACCCATCCTGCCATGCAAACAAGAACTGTCCTCCCGACGCGCTAACCGGCGAGAACGCAAACTCCTTTAGGCAAAACTTGTGATAGAAATGTGGGCTTGAAGGCGATTTGGCATAACATTGGCCCGAAAAATCTTCTTTTCTCTTCCGTACATTCGGCAAACATTGGCTGCAAGCAACGCGGGTTCCGTGGTCAACGGGCGTGCGACCACACCACCGGCCAAGGCTACGTCAAGTCGCAGCGTGGCCACTACCACGACGGGATCTTCTGCAAGCGAAACAAGTTCAACCTGCTTCTTCACGAGACATTCGGCGGTGGCTTCTCAACGCCAGCAGTTGCAAAGATCAACCGCCTTGCGCGCAAGGCTCAACGCTCGGGCGTTGACCGCACCGCGTACCCTCCCCACTCCCGCCTCTCGTTTGTGTCACACCACGCGGAACGCATCTCCATCGTTCGGTGAAGGGGGTGAACCGCGCCATCCTCGATCGCCGTGAAAGCTCGCTTCCAAGCTCTCACGCCGCGCGTAGGGCCCTTAGGGGCCTAGAGAACACAACCCCCTCTCCCTCTTCTCCCAGTAAGCTAAAAGTGCACATACACTGAAAATGTCTCACAGTCCCGGAGCAGACGACGTCCGTCCAATCATGTGACACACATATGGCGACCGTGACGGACTCTCCTTCAGAGCTTGTTGCGGCACAGCCTACAAATCGCGACAAGCTGCATAGAGTCGGCGGACAGACAGAAGACGAGAGGGTGGCATGGCCTCCGCTGGCCCAGGGGACTTACGTTTATGCCGGTCGCATGTCCGCCATCCGGTCCAGTGACGTCCTCTACGGCCCCCTGACTGGAGAGTGTTTTACGTGCGTGCTGAAACGGGTGCAGGTGTTTAGCACTGACCTCGCTGAACCAACACCTTACTCGGCACAGCAACTCTCTCCGCCATGAAAATAACCGCCTGTCACGGGCTCACGGCGACCACACTTCCTCCGCTGAAGCCAACCGCACGCTGTAAGCTGACATCCCGCCCTCTGCTCCCCCGCGTTCCATTTAGGGCCTCGTGTATCCAGTCGTGCACGTCACCTCGAAACCGCAGCGCATGACAGACAGTGACATCTTCGACCTTGTTCACTTCCTTGAGCGGTGCCTGAGCGCGGCGAAACCTTGCGGATTCCTGCACGATCTTCGCCACATCTCGGCGGTCTCGTCGCGGCAGCAGGTGCGCCGCCTCCGCGACATCCACGACAGCTTGCGACGGGAGACTCCACAACATGCCTTCCGCAGGTGAGGGCGCTCGTGTCGTTCGTGGCTCGGAACAAGCGGACGATGGACACGCACTTGCTGTGCACAGCTGTCGTGGTCGGCTCGCCGCTGCTACGCTACGTCGTGAACGGGCTATTTACGCTGTTCCGCCCCTCACAGCCCGCCTCGCTTTTTGGTAGCCTCGAGGAGGCAATCGCCTTTCTTGGTCGGCACATTTCGCCCGGGGCGGTCGCGGCGCCGGCAGCACCCAGCGCGTAGTTCAGAGCGGGCGCACGTGTTTCAAGTCTCCCCAGATGTACACCGTGTGCGTGTACGCATCATAGGGGCTGCCTGCCGCGGCTGGGTGCGACGGGGAAATAAATTTGAAGGTCAGTCAGCGCGTGCCGCGAGGGACGAACGAGGGCCGCGACGGCGGCTCAAGCGGGAGGGAGCGGAGACAGTGGGCAGCGAGCGAAGTGGTGAGACTGATGATGCTCCTTCGACTTAGGGAGCGGTTCAGCTGCTGGGCGGGCTTCAGGGTGGTGCTAACGCGAAAGGGAATCGACGCGATGTGTAAAGCATAAAGAAGAGGAGAAAGAAGAGGACGGACATCAGTGATGACGAAAAACAGAAGCTAGCGCAGACGAGAGAGGGCAGACCCGGGGACTGGGGAGCCGGAGCAGACGGCATCGGCCGCCGAGGGAACGTTGGGAAGAGGCACGAGGAGGGCGGCGACCTCAACCGACTATGGAGGACCCGTCACCAGACGACGCAGGGCAGACGACGGTGAGGCGGAGCAGACGTTCAGGGCGAGACGAGGGAGGGAGCAGGACGTTGCGGAGATCAGCAGGAGGATGTACGAAAAGATTAGGAGCAGCAGGGACCCGAGGGACCATGTGGAAGACGGCTAGTGCTAGTCCCCCACCGGGAGGACGACCCCTGCTAGTCGCCGACCACTCGCACAAAGCGAGGTCTCGTGCAGTCTCGAAGACTTGGCATATTAGTCGGGCCGGGCCGCGAGGCCTCTATGACGGACCCGCTGCAGGTCCCAAGGTCGCGCTACCGGCCCACATCGCCCTCGAGCCTCTCCTTTGTCAACCTGAGCAAGATCGGAGGCGCCTACAAGATGTACCTCCGAGGAGGCATTGAGTACCGAGTGAGCGATTTGGTTCACGGCTACCTACATCGGCTCGGTGAGAGGTAGAGTCAGCCGTGGGATATCGTAAAATTCCTGCGCGCGCTGTGGTTCTCTGCGTATGCTTCCCATGCCACTGGGACACGTCCGGCAGGCGTCAATGTAACCAGCGCCTTCTGCTCCCTCTGGCCCGACTCAATTGGCTGCTTATACACGCGTATGGCACGGCGAGTCAATGACCACGAGGCCTTCCTCATCGCCCTGCGACGCAAGGCTGCCGCCCGGCCAGACCTCTGCCCGGCTGCTACGGCACTTGTGGTGCACCTGCGGCTCGGAGGTGCGGATTTGGGAGCCGGAGCTCGAACTAGTCCTGGGCCACGGTTGTGATAATCTCAGCCGTACCACACCCCACACGCCCGACTCTGCATGGATGCCCGAGGAGTGTGAACATTGCCTGTTCACGCCTCGAGCATCAACAGACACGCTCGACTGGGACCGCACCGACTGCCCGAGGAGCATCGCGCGCGGCACCTCGTGCCGCTTCTTGCACCCTGCCGCGGCGTATCGTCGCCTTCGCCTCCCGAGAGGGGTCGACCACGCCGTGCTGGACCGCAGCCCAGATGCTGGATGCGCCTGCACCTTAGCTATCACGCGAGCATACACGTACCAAGTGTGTGTGGTGCAATGTGCACACGCGTGACGTTCGTATTTGTAGCCGTTGTATCACACTCACGTCTGGTATCCCTCTGCAGGTCGGCGACCCGTTCTACCGCTCAAAGGCTGTCCCCCACACGGGCCAGCGAAGCCTTGCCTACCTGGGGGACGTACGGCAGGTCGAAAGGGAGGATACCTAACTGAGCACGAGCAGTTCTGTGACAAGGCTGACTGCGAGTAGGCCCTACGTGAGCGCGTGCCGGTGCGGAGCGAGCGGATCGGCGCGCCCGTCGACGACGACATCATCTTCCTCTCTCGTGCGCGCTTTCTGCTGCCCAGCAGCAATTCTGGCTTCACGAGGCTGGTCGCGCTGGCAGTCCGCAGAGCAAACGGCACTGTTCTTGCACTGTAACCGCAAAAACAGCGTCTGGCTACAAAGCTACACTCTGTAGCTGTACGTGGCGTCGTCGGTCGTGGCCAAGCCCCCCATGCCCCAAGGGCAAGAGGCCCAAGCGCAAGCCGCACGACGCGCACATGATACATAACCCCGGCTTTCTGTCGTTGTCACATTAAAAACACAGAGACTGCACATATAGAGCCGTATGCGACCGCACGAAGACGACAAAGAGCCGGGGCAGGCGACAGAGGGGGTGTACAGCTAGGAGACGGATGCGGGATGGCACACCACCACCAGGACACAGACGAGCTCGGGAGCTAGACAGTCGGCCGCGCGAGTTGGGTGTGGTGGCAAGGTAGAGGCACCGTGGGCTCGTCCTCGAGGCTCACTACTCCGGAGGGTGTGGCTCCTGCGACTGCGACTGGGGCTGCGAGGCCCGCTCCTCGACCTGGTCCTGGTTGGTCTCGATGAAGTCCCACAGGAAGCCCTCGAGGTCCTCCGAGTTGATCGAGTCCATCTCGGACCCCACGCCGGAGGTCGTCCGCTGCACGGCGAGGACCTGAGGGCCACACGCCAGGGGGTGGGGGCGGAGGGCGCGGCCGGAAGGGAGAGGGGCGAGGGGAGGGGCGAGGAAGGGGGGGGGGGGGGTTAGAGGGCGGGTGGTCGAGGGTACCGCCGGTGTGGGGGGGGGGGGGGGGGGGGGAATTTTTACCCTTGCTTGGCGCCCCGCCCGTCAGGGCTTGGGAGCCCACAAATTTTATGCCCCCCCCCTGCAAAGGGTCCGGGGACCCCTTAGGCGGCCAAGGCATTTCGGGGGGCTCTTGGGGGGACCTCCGCCCCGGGTCTCGGCTAAATCTTTTCCTGCAGGGGGTCCCCG